CCTCCTCCGGCTAATCCACCAGAACAACTGTGGACCATCAGCCAAGCTTCCTGTCTCAAGTGGCTGCCCAATCATTGGAGGAACAGAGTCTTGGAGCGGGTTGAGCGACTTGGAAAGCATCTTTGGAGCTAACACATTGTCAGTAGTCAGGGTCTGTGTCCGCCTTCTGCTGCACTGCGTTTCTTTACAGACAAGTTGCTACACTTTCTGAACATGCAGTACTAGGAAAATGGCATCATTTCCTCATGTACTTGAAAGTATTTGCAGAGGAAAATATTACGATTTTACGATATTACGAATATTAAGACCTAGCCTTTAACACCCCAAATTGTGAACGTGATGTGATGTTGTCCATAAGTCAGTGAAAGTTGTAAATAATGTTGCATTTATGAATACCAAACGGTGGCGCGGGGCTCCTCTCTCTTCATTCTCATCTGTGCTTTGATTTTTGTTTATGCAGAAAAACACGACTGAACAGAACGAACAAATCCTCCTAATCCTCACTACGGTATCGCTGGTAAACACTTCTTCCTAATCCTCCTCGCTGGCATCGAGGGCATGTTGCATTGCTGTCAATACCCAATCACCAGTTCTCGCAAGAACTGCAGTCGTAATCTGTGCGACCATAACTACAGTAAGTGCGACACTTTTAACCCAGAGGTGTGAAAAAAAAAAATCTTACTTCGCTCTCTTTGTATTCTGGGCTCAGTGGGAATTTTTCATTTTGCTTTCTGTTCTAAAAATAAATGCAAAATTTGCTCCGGTCAAACTAGAAATCCCATGCTTCTGTAACCAGGAAATTGCTTTTAAAATGAGACCACTCCACCAGAACCCCTCTGTCAGTGGATGGAGAAATTACACAGCATAATTTGATCTAAGGAAGTTGTAATTACTCATTTGCTAATTGCGGTAAAATACTGCTGGAGTCCATTTGTGGAAACGAGGGCTGTGTGAATGTTCAAGTTCTCTCTCGTGTCTCGCAGAGCTGCCCCTGATTTCTCACTTTGAAACTTTCTCTGTAGCGCGGCGCCGGTGGAAGTTCCTCTCGGCTCATTAGAATTGACATTGACTTATCTGCATCATTTAAGCTCAAATTGACTGGCTGAGTATGATTCAACTTTCAAGTAGAGCTGCTGAATTTACTGTCCAAACCCTGAGGAACAGATCTGAAAATAGTTGTACTATGCATCCATCCATCCCCTAATTCTGCTGATGGAGGTGGGATGATGTTGCATCAGGTCGTCCAGTACAAATCACTATGGCAACCCCTGATATTGGAACAAGCTGCTGATTCACTCTCATACTAATAATAATCTGGTTTATTTGTATACATGTCTGTTTAATATTTTCTATGAAAACACACAGCAGTTCCATAACCACGTACTGTTATACGTTGACTTTTCCCAGCATACATCTGCCACGCAAACTGTTGTGCATTCGGTTTGTCTGGCAGGAGCAGAGCTGTAAAAAAAAAAAAAAAAAATGCTGTAAAATCCCACTTGAAATGCACACCCAGAACGCATCGCTGCATGTAAAAAGGCTCGTAAACACCTATAAACCACGGTTTTTATCTCAAACTGTAAAATCTCAGGTTGCATCAAAACGATACATCAACTGACGCTGACACCCGTGCCTTAACCCAGACATGAACGCAGAATCTGTCGGTGAGAAAAATCTTCAACGTGACCTTAGAGTTGCACAGAAAAGTATAAATACAAGCCGAGGTCAAGGTCATGTTTGAGGCTGGAGGCTAAATCATTTTTCCATTGTATTTTTCTTTTCTGATTTAATCTTATATTTATATATTTTTTTGCTTGGTTTTATAACAATTTTTTTCTCATGTATATTAGTGTATTTTGCTGATATTATTCTGTTGATTCTATGTCATCTTAATCATCATCAGTATCATCATTATAATTAATCACCTTCACTTATTCGCTCAACTATTAGTTGTTGAAATCTCAGTTATGATCCCAGGTCGGTGTAAATCTGGTGGTTCTCGAACCTTTTCTGCAGCTATTACTTCAAAACTGCACTGAACTGAATAATTCCAAAAAAAAAAAAGGACATTCTCCCTAATAAAAGGAAATAGGATTAGAAGTCTGTGAAATAAAAAGAAAATAATTAAAAATTATTAATTAAAAATGCTGCAGTCCCAAAGGCAGACCCCGCCCCCCACTTTGGCCCTAAATATGTTGACACACTTTTCTGACTTTCATCAGACGCGGCTCATCACTGCAGTAATGACAGTGGAAGAATGAAGCTGCATTTCTGTCATGTCTGTCTGTGGCTCAGTGGTTAATTAGCCTCATCACCGTCACCTGTGTCTGGTGACTGTTAATTAGTCTCACTCATCTCACCTGGTGCCCACACTTTGGTCTTCTGGTCTTACACCCAAACTCAGCATTGCTTTCATTGTTTTCTGTGGTAGATGCAACAAAGAAAAAAAAAAAAAAAAAAACAAGAAACAACGTTCTTCTCTAATCATCATGGATGTCTTTGTCTCCATCCCTCCCACTGAGAGGTACAGTATGTTTGCCTACAGAGTCAGTCTGTCATCAACAGTGCTGTTGCCTCTGCTCAACTGTCATAAAAAAAAAATATATTTCAATTAATCAAAGTTAGAATTTATAAAACTTTTAGCGATTCCCTCAAAACTTTCCACCAGTTGACATTTTTACTTTTTGCGATTTTAATATTTTGTGACTTTTCACTGATGAGCTTTTAAGCACACGCAGGGTTTCGGTGACATTTGACGGCGCGTTTATCTTCCAAATGTCAACAAAATCAAGCATTTCTCCGTGGCACACGGGAACCGATGAAGTCAGAGATGTCGACTGTTGTATCACAGCCTCAGTATTCTAAGAAATGCCTGAAAAAAAACCAAAAAACAACCAAAACAAACAAACTAAGAGGTTAAACTTGGTTTGTCCGTAAAGTGAGGCTACGGTGGAAACATATACTGAGGGTTTTATTGTGTGGCCAGGAAATCTATATTTATATTTGTCATGTTGATTATCTTCCTGGTGACATGCCTCTAGTCGATCTGTGCGTGCCTTTAATTAAATATGTCAGGATGATTTCTTTTCCTTTGTAGTCAAGGTGATGACAAGTGGAGACTGACGTGCTTTTACGGGCCGCTCACTGCTGTTTCATTAAGAAACAATCACTCCGACATACAGACGTGGTGCAGTCTTACTGCTTTGTTTACATTCGCCGGTTGTACGCCGTACATTGGATTTGCGTTCTTTCGTTTGTGTTTATTTTTGGGGGGCGACTTTTTGCCCTTCATTTTGTCTCTTATTATTATTATTATTATGTTATCACTGTGTTAGCGTAGGTGAGTGACTGTAGGTACTGATGTACGCTAGGAGTTCTCAGTTACAGTGAACAGCAGGTAGATGTGTGTGTTTCACACCTGTTTTTTATCAGTGACCAATCATCGACAACATTGATCAGACTACAGTCCATTTGGTATGGTGTCGGTCAGTTTGTTAGCCGTGGACTCTGATGCAAGTCGGC